CTACAAAGCATGTTTTTAAAAACCTTCATAGAAGTTATTAATAATGTACAAATGTTATAATTTTTTTTGGATTGCCGTTAAAGGCAGATGAGCATACAGCCCCCTGACAGTTGCCCATGGACGTCAGCAATGCCACTGCCTACCACGTCAAGCCACTGCTTGTCACCAAATTTTGTTCTATGATAATAACAAAATGCAATGGTTATTATTAACTGAAAGTCCTTTAGTCCTTTCTCTCGTGCTCAGTACACTTTCAGAAGTTGTTTCTGTCACCGACCATTAGTCTTTGCAAGGAACCCCGTTTCTTAGCGTTTTTCATGACATTTGTTGATTTGAGGTGCGATCTCAGGTTCCTATGGCTTGGCCATGTCCACTTGGCCACGTCCACTTGTCCGTATCTTCTTTTGCCTTCCAACACCTTATTTTTTATTGCATAGATGAGTCGACGAGCTCACAGGCCACCAGGTTTTAAGTGGCTACCGGAGCTCATAGATATCTACAACGTAAATGCCGTAAATCAGTTTTTTTTACAGTACAACGGCTGCCCCACCCTTAAAGCCGAAACACATTACTGCTTCACGGCAGAAATAGGCAGGTTGGTGGCACTCACCCGCGTGGACTCGCAAGTGGTCCTACCACCAGTAATTACGCAAATTATAATTTTGCGGTTTCATTGACAATTCTTGATTTATATTATTAGGTTTTGATGTTTTGTTTACTCTATCGGTCTTATAAAAAAAAAACTGACTGTTTATTTTTAAAATGATAACACTAAAGTTCGTCGATAGCTACGAATAAAAAATACCTACTTAAGTATCCTGGTATCTCCTATGTATAGTACATAGATTGTTTCCTACTCTGTCATTTGAATTTTTCACCAGACTGTACAGCTCCATATAGGATGGATGCTTCAGCCTCGTTCCTTGGTTTAGATGTTACTTATTCATAACTAGCCTTTGCAGCAATAGAAACTTAGTATGAATAGCAAAATTTTGGACAAAACAAAACAAAACAATTGTTCGAAAACATTTAATTAGCGACGCGTTCGTCATGTTTGTTAGCAGTTATGTTTTGTCAAATTTAACCTAGTTTGGTTAGAGCTTAATTAAAGACTTTATTACGAAGTTTTGTTTCCGAAAACATTATATTATTGTCATGTGAAGTCGTCGTGGCCTAAAGGATAAGACGTACGGTGCATTCGTGTTGAACAATGTTCGAATCCCAGGCGGATACCAATTTTTCTAATGAAATACGTACTCAACAAACGTTCACGATTGACTTCCATGGTTTTTTTTATTGTTTAGATGTGTGGACGAGCTCACAGCCTACCTGGTGTTAAGTGGTTACTGGAGCCCATAGACCTCTAGAACGTAAATGCGCCACACACCTTGAGATATAGTTCTAAGTTCTCAGTATAGTCACAACGGCTGCCCCACCCTTCAAACCGAAACACATTATTGCTTCACGGCAGAAATAGGCGGGGCGGTGGTATCTACCCGTGCGGACTCACAAGAGGTCCTACCACCAGTAAACAAATGGTGAAGGAATAGCATCGTGTAATAAAAATCAAACCCGCAAAATTATATTTCGCGTAATTACTGGTGGTAGGTGGTATCGCTTATTGTATGAAAAGGCATTATAGCAAATAGACATTAAGAATTAACATATTAGAATAACTTATGGCTATTTCAATAAATTTTGCATCCACGTTTAGGAATTCCTACCGATTGACTATACGGAGTCATGGCTTTGAATCTTATTAAGCAACAGATTCAAGAATCATCATGTTCATCCACGCGTCGATACCTTTAGGGCCGTGATCTCTATATATTATATAATACATTACACGCTCTTTCGTTTAGTTCTGCTTACTGCGGCGGGGAAAGCATCGTGTGTGGTAGAATTAGATACTGATAAGATCTGGATATTTCAACGCAAATAATTGCTTCCCTGCAACCTATCACGTTCTATTTTCTACCTTAAGCAGTTTTTTTAAAGTAATTTTCCCCATATTCTAACTAGAATACTACTCATGTAATAAATAGTGGTTATAATGCTAACAGTTTCTGTACCGTGATCATTAAAAACACCAATACTAAATAATAGTTTAAAAACCAAAAAACACGCATTTATAGAAAATCCAACAAAAAAATGGAAAAAAAATTATTGTATAAAAAGCGTGGGGTGCATGGTGTCAATAGTTGTATATATTTTATTGACAGATATAATTAGAATGATTATCATTTTGATAATATTTTAAAATGCATCCTCCGATTTTTATACAATAAATTTATTAATTATTTATTATGTTTTTGTTAGCATGAGCCATAATAAGATACGTATTTTTCGATTTAACAAAAAGTACCAACCACCACCCTGTCTATTTCTGTAAATTATACAAACTTACCCCTCAGATAAATACAATTTCAGGAACCTTTTCCTGAGCGTCAAAACACCCGGCTCCTTAATTAATGCAATTAACAGGCTCTTCATCTTACGAATGGATAAATTTAACGAAGGGATGCTTAGAATGAGGAAATATTATTCTCGTTCGCGTCTTTCGGTTTCGATAGAAGAGATTCTTTTAAGAAGTAAAATATTTGCGTTTTTAAAATACAATAAATTATACATTTTTAAGTTTAATATCATGATGGCGGACTAAGGGAATGTCACTGTCACTGGATGCTTTACAACAGGTTCCAAAAGAGCCACAGTCCTGAGAAGAGATAAATAAATTTAGATTCAATGACATTGTTTGCCTCATTTAAATATAATTTATTTTTCACGGCTTATGAATCGATTCTTAATTTACAGGCATTAGAGATCACATGATATTTAATGGTTATCACAGCTCATACATAAGTACAACACTAACGTTGATACATCAGAATCACACATCACGATAGAAGGTTTTATTTTTATTTTTTTGTTGCCTTTGTAGGCAGACGAGCGTACGGCCCAGCTGATGGTAAGTGGTTACCGTCGCCCATAGACTTCAGCAATGCCAGGAGCAGAGTCAAGCCGCTGCCTACTGTTTATTCCTATATAAACCTACGTACGGTTTATTCCCTATTAGAAGATTCGAATAGTGAATACTGAAATAAAAAATAGAATAAATGGAGATGATAGTATAAAATTGCTTTTTTAATCAATCCACGATGCTTAAAATGGTATAATAAGTTAAAAAACTAACACCACGTTAATCGCTGCTATCGGAGAAATCCACACTTACAATCCATTTTTCATCGTCTATTCAGCCTTCGAAGAAAATCTCCCGCAAAATCTTGACGTGTCTTATAAATTAATCCGCAACACATCGACTCGACCAAGGTCCAAAAAATGGGTTAAAATATCCTTAAGTAGGCCATCATTAAAATATATTGTTTTTATTATAACGAAATCAATAAAGTCTTATATGCAACAAGCTCTCCGGGGAAATTCACATTTAGTACTTGGATTTTACGATACAAATTTAATTGGATACTGGCGAGCCATTTCTGACTTTTGTATTGTAACGCATGGTGGGGCAAGGCCGCGTGGGAGCGAGACATGAATGCACCATTTTCCTGTTGTTAGAAAAGGACGATCGGAAGGAATGCAGGGGTCACAGGTAGTACGGTAGCCTGACCTACTTTTGAATGCAGAGCGTCGGGTAAATATTGATTTAGTGGATATATTCACTTGTTGAGTCGGCTTGAGGTTGCGGAGGTGAAGGTTTTCTGGATTTTCGGTTCTTGAAGCCTTTCGGGTATTATTCTGCTACGGATTTGGAAGTGGATCAAGACAGTGGATATGAGATCAAATGTGTGTATTTTTATTTGAATCTGTTTGAGCGAGTTATTGGATAAGGCTGTGTAGATTTCTGGCACTCGCATGTGGCATTATTGCCTGTATCTACATTATGTGCAAATTAATTTGAAGGATTTAGTTGTTTCGTCTTACTGTAGAATATGTTTTACTTGTATATATTTCAGCAAATTTAAATGTAATTAATATTTAATTGTAATTAGTATTTAATCATTATGGACTTATATATGGATATACATTATGGATTTACATACGAATACTATTGTAAATTTATATTTAGATGTAATTATTCATTTATTTATTTATTTAAGGATTACCAACAGGGTTTACAGTAAGACATAAAATAACATTGACATGTATAGAGCAATTGATAACTGTAACTCTAATTAGAGGCAATCACAGCATGCATTACATTAATATATCAACAGAGATTTAACAATGCTACACACAACAACAAAGACAGTAATACCCGAGTATTCAGACCAAGGCTGAGGCTGAGGTTCAACAACAACTTTTTATAATTTTGTTCCTGAATATTGGAAGGGAATCGCCAAATATGTCAAGATTTTCAGCTTTACTGACTAGATTATTATAAAGGTTAGTTAGACGAGGAGCTGGTGAGTGCTTGCCTAAATTGGTTCTGCTAAAGCGGGTACTGAAAAGAGCATGTACTTATGATGTACTTCATAAAAAAAATGAGCGCGCTGAGTTTATTTGCTATTTCGTAATTTTATTCCAGAAGTATGACTCAAGGTAAGCTGCGACAAACGTCCACGGAAAATGCTGGAGTGGTGTTATTCCAGACGATATAACACCCCCTTCTCTGACCGGGTTCTGACCCCGGACGGAGATCGGACGTCGGGTGTAAAGCCTTGTTCGGACTAGGCGAGTATTTAGTCGAGTACCGAGTAATTTAGTGGTTAATCGCCCGAAAAAATAGAACAAAATGGATTGACTTTACTAAATTATTTACTAACCTACTCGACTAAATTTTTGGTGCTCAGACACATTTAGCTACTAAATTACTCGGTACTCGACTAAAATACTCGCCTAGTCCGAACAAAGCTTAAGAGTGCAGGCGAATCGTTTAGTGTAGTAGGACCCCTCCTTGGGCCCGCGATCTGCTCCCAACATCTGCGGATCGTTAAGTATGAAACAGTATAATAAAATGTATTTTTTTTGTTTTGTTGCAGCCTGGGTCCTTGGTTGGCTGATGTGCAAGACGGTGCCGTACGTCCAGGGCTTATCTGTGGCGGCCTCAGTTTACAGCCTCGTCGCCGTATCCCTTGACAGGTCAGTGTTCGAATACATAAACTGATAATATCTATTGTTTATTTGCTTTTTTGCATCTAACAGGAAGTTGAACTAAAATAAAGTAAATTTTAGTAAGTAAGACGTTCTTAACGATAAAATTGATTCCTTCTGGATAGCCGGTTCTTGTGGATGTCGTAAAAGGTGATTAAGGGATTTACCGGAGAATTTGCAACAACCTTTTCTGAATATCACACCAGCAACTAGCATGTACTAGTGATAGGGTATCTTGTGAACCCGCACGGGTAGGTGCCGATATCCTGTACATTGCAGCCGTGAAGTCGTCATGTTTTTTGATTGGATCCTATTACAGTCCTTATATAATAATAATAATAACAAAGCCATTTAATCCAAATCTCACTCTCGATATATGAGTCGTCTATTATCAAAGGCGGCAATCTGTGCATTTGGACAAAAAAAATTTATTGATATGTCAATACAGATTGATTTGAATATAATCGTCTCCTTCAAAGAATACGGTTCAAAACCTGCATTAAATAAAGGTTAATAGTTAACCTGTTATTTATCTAAGATGTCGTTCCGAAGAGTTTTGTGACTGCCAATGGAATACAAAGTCAATAATTCGTTTTTCTGATTTACCAATCATTGTTCAAAAGTCAGATTGCCGGCTTTGATAATAGTCGACTCATATAACACAATGTTTGTTAGTAAGTTGTACTTTAAAATTAAAAAGGTTACTTATAATTAATTAATTATTTAATATTAATACTATTTATGAGATTTAGACCCCTATTTGGGTAAAGGCCTTCTCCATCCTTTTCCATGACACCCTGTCCTTGCCTGATTTTATCAAGTTGTTTCCTGCGACGTGTGTTATGTCGTTGAGTGCAGCTATAAAAATCAACCTATTAATTCAGCATGAAATGAAGAATATACCGTAATAAAGAGATATTTCGTGACATTTTGTTATCGTCGTTAATACAATTCCGTTTGTTCAAACTGATTAGATTGAAACTACTGCAGTTGTTAAAAAGTACTCACTGGTATTTTTTACTGGTGGTAAGACCTCTTGTGAGTCCGCACGGGTAGGTACCACCACCCCACCTATTTCTGCCGTGAAGCAGTAATGCGTTTCGGTTTGAAGGGTGGGGCAGCCGTCGTAACTTTACTGAGACCTTAGAACTTATATCTCAAGGTGTGTGGCGCATTTACGTTGTAGATGTCTATGGGTTCCAGTAACCACTTAACACCAGGTGGGCTGTGAGCTCGTCCCCATATCTAGGCAATAAAAAATAAAAAAACTCACAATGGTATACGTCGACCAGTCACTCACTACAAATAATGCCGATGACTAACTCGCTTTTGATTGAAGAGAAAATGTCCAAAATTAAACTTCATCGCCTTTAAACGGAAAGTATTTGAAATGATTGCTTTCATTTCGCTTTTCTATAAGATATCCTTAAAGCAAAGTTTTAATTTATAAGCTGAATAATAATAATGGAGGACTCGAGAAACTTAAAGCTTTCCATCTCTTGATTAAAATTTCCGTCGCAATGTTACGATCGGCGGAATGTTGAGTTTAATATGAAAAAATCGATCAAAGAACAATTCCAATCGAGTTTGTGCTGCATTGATTGTTCGTTGATAGGTTGATAGGTAGCAGTATTACGAATGGAGATGAAATTCATTTGATTCTTTAAATCGGTCCCCATGAATTACCGTTGATAGTAGACATTATGAGTGATTCGTCTCCAGCCACCTTAAGACACGAACATCGAAATCTAAGCAAATGAATAACAAAAAATAATTTCTCATATTCATTTCTTTTTATTTAGTAATTATTATTACTATGGAATTGTATTATAATTATGAGAATTCGTGACCACACCATTATTTACTTTTCAAAAATAAACTTCCAATGTATGTTCAGCGGTATTAATCATTGATTTTAAGAGACCTCAAATGACCCAGTTTCACCCACCTTGACCCACTATCTGGCGCATAAAAAGCTTCCACACGATTGCGAATGCCTTCTCAAGGGTCGGCGTTTGTCAAAACCTTCAAGCAGAAATATTTCCGCGGATCATTTGATTGATGGCCTGACATTTTGCTGAAGCTCGAACATTGCTTTTAAGCTCGCGAGCTCTTGGTAGTTTTGACGTTTTTTTATGAAATACGCGCAGAAAAAGCTTTTCATACTTTCAAGTTTGCTTCTGAATTGAATATCCCCTTGAGCGCTATGACTTGTTTTTCGTAAAATAGACTGGAAGCTAATGTTTCCAAGAGTTTTTAGTATAATCTAAGATGTATAGACGAACTTTCAGCCCACCTGGTGTTAAATGGTTACGCAAAGATCTAGAATCTTTCAAAATAAAGCAATTTATGAGTATTACAATAATATTTGTCTACCAGCGCATTTAATCAACAGTCCCTTATTCAAGGTCGTGACTAATAACGGGAACATGCGTCTTTGTTGTGAGGGACAAAGGGTCCAAGGCCCAAGGATTGGTTAAACCAGAATTCGGGGCTTTTGTTCTAAGCTGTACGAACGTAATATGGCGTTACACTCCGAAGCATTTAATTTTAATGTCATCATTATGATTTCGGTGTGTTGTGTTGACTTGAGAAAACCCATTGTCAGGACAAGAAAAAATCTTAAATGGATTGCAAACCTTAGTAAATACATTTTCTGCTATTAATTCACTATTAACAGAATTAAATAATTGGTTATAAAGTCTTTTTGTTTCGGATTGGTCACAAGAGATTCGCGTCGTCTATTAGTCTATAGCAGTTTTTAAGTAGCATTGAGGTGTGACTTGTTTTTCTAAGGTCTCACACCAGCCGACACGACCGACACTACTGGCTGTTCTATACCTCTTACTTAAGCGTGTCCATGGTAGACGTTGACTTTATAGCAATAACGACCACTTCGCCAATACTGGTGCACTGTAGCCTAAATAGGTAGCTGGGCTTGGTTTTTAATACATTTAAAGCAAGGTTATAGGTCAAACATCACAGCTGATATTTTCGTTAAAGGATAAATATTACGTTAGAGTATTTCACCTACAAATTTGGTGTGCTCGATAGTTTAAATAATGAGAAGGGTTTGTCGTAGTCAGTTCCTTACAGCAATGACCGTCTATTTAATTAATAAATTAAATGAAGGATGTAGTTGTAGGCTTAAGAATTTTTTCTATCCTAATTTTTGAGCTTATAATTTAAAGGTCTTTTTAAATAAGCTTTTATGGATAATAATAATTATTATTATATTAATAGCTGTTTAGGGTATATTGGGTTTAGTGAACAATGACCAAAGCTAAGTACTAAATTTATCAGTGAATTTTCCTCATCAACTAATCAACGAAACAAGAATATTGTATACATACCAATTCACAACGACAACTCATTAAGCTGACTCCAAAAAAGCCCAGGATAATCTCCATTCCATAAGCATAAACACGCTACTACTCACCCTAAAGTAATTATCCTTGACGATACTCCTAATTATGAAGCCCAAAGCTTCGGGGGGCTTTCAATGGAATTCTATTTGCAAGGTTCCGAAGTTTTGATGCCATGGGAGCTTTAGAAATGGATTTTTTTCCAATAAGTAAAATTTTCCGTGTTAAGTTATGATAATGATGAGATTTAACCTCGTTTTTAATGATGGGCGGACGTTCTTGGGAAATTCAGTAGATTGGATCTGAATTAATTCTGTCTTTTAGTCTCTTTTTTTTGGTTTTGCGAGTCGTCGGTTGCGTCTTACTGACTCTGTATACAGCTAGTATTAGGCTACATTTGGTATACCGTTACAAATGCAAATACTAGATATTGAAAAATTGACAAAATCTAAAAATACAGTCCAGGCCGTTAAAAATGAATCATAAATTAACTAATAGCATGCCAAATTAAAACTAAAAAAGCGAAGGACACAGCAGATTAGACATTAATTTGTCGCTGGTATTACTAAATTTAAAAAAGGTGATTATATTAAGATGTATAGTTTAATATTGATAGATTAATTTTCTACTCAAAGTTTTTCAAGTTATTAATACACAGCTATGAACAAAAATAATAATAGTAATACGTAATATCTGTAAAATTGAGACTGATGGTATTTTTAATTTATTATTTTTTTGCCCTTTTAATGTAGAGGGGGTCATGGGTCATATGGTCGTCGACGTCGTTCATAGGGATCAACATTGCTAAGGCGTCCCCAAGTACCTGATTACATAATTAGGTAATCATGTACAGAGTAAGCATAATGTAAATCAGTTTGAAATGCTTATTGCGTATCTACAATCTGTGGGATTTGAGTTTTCTGCAAATTATATACATACATATATTGGTTTTACAGTACAGTTCAGTCGCGTGACAAAAACGATATTACGAAATTAACTCATAATTTATTCAACTTATTTTTCAATAAATACTCGCAGCCATTTTTCTAGTAAAAGGCGTTTTGAAGTCCACAGTTTACTACAATGAAAAATTTTAAGCGTTGCGCAGTAATGAAAACAAAAATAGGAATATGGGAAAAATATTAACAACGAACAACAGTATTTAATACTCAACTACATCAGACTTTTATTGAAAACAACAAAGGCTTTAACTAGAATCTTGAAAATCGTTCATACATGAAATTAGATTCTAGTGAGGGTATTAAGGACTTGTTGATATCTTCTTGATATATAATGGAAGGCGAAAATTATCCATGTCTTGGGAAAATATTTTATTTAGCTCATTTTAAATCAACGTCACTCACCCTTATTCCACAAATGACGCAGCATGCCCTTTTTTTCGTTCGTTTCGTTAAATGACATCTCTTCTCCCGTATTTCCTCTTTCACACAGTCCATTCAAGTCTTTTTAGGACGCCCCTCCTCATATTATTGTCTACCTTCAAACTAGAAGACGTAGCGTGGGTAAGCCTCCCATAAGATGGAATGACGAGTCATAGAGGTTCGCGGGAATCCGCTGGATAAAAGCAGCGCAGGACCGATCTTTGTGACGTGGTTTGGAGGA